CAAATCCACACTGTCTTCAGTGAGGGTTCTGGGTAGGCGTGTAGGGCAGAATCTGGCCTACATTTTCCTTCTTGGTATTTAAAAGATAAAAAAATTAATAAGTAGTATCTGTTAAAAAGCACAACTGTAAAATGTTTTAGTAGAAAAATAAACATTTTAAGTTATTGGCAGGTAACATTAGTGCAATTATTTTGACTGCCTTACTTTGACTGCCACACAGTAGATTGCAAAAATACACTGTCACTAGTGAAAAGAACCTAAGACACTTTAGAAACAGTTATGTAGCTGCCAGATAAAGGGAACAGAAAAGGAACAGATTCTGTGGCATGACATAACCACAGTACTTCTTTTATGTAGCTCTTAATGCTTAGTGCCTTTTAATGCTCCAGAAAACAAAGTTCAATGCTTGTAAACTAATTACAGTTCTTTTCCATACAAAAATATATCAATTATCTAATTTTCAAAAGGTTGACTAGCTGCTGACTAGAAAGATAACATTCTCATATTCAGCTATATGCTAGATGACATCTGGATCAACTTCTGTCTTTGAAGAACCATTTTTGGTATTCTGAATTGGTACATGGTCGTAATAGTGGTGCTGGATTACCATTGTAAGAGTTCGACTCTGCTTGTAAGCACTTCTGGGTTTGTACATGAAGCAAAGTGCCATCCTACAAAAGATAAAAATAATTTTTGTCTATCAGGCCCTAAAATTACAAATACATTCCTGTATTTTAAAAGTAACAGAAAACATTCATAACAAACATGTATCTTCCATATCCTTCTCTTGGGGCTATGCAGTGAATCCAAACGCCTAAGTTTAGCCTCTTTGAGACTTTATCAAAGACCCTGCTTTTAAACTTGCACTTACTTCACTTTAGAGTAATACATGTCTTGACATCTAAGTTTATAAAGGATTTGCTAAACTTATTTACTTTCATTGCTTTTGTTACTGCATCACAATACGGACAGAGAAAACTAAAGCTGAATACAAGCATTAGTTAAATTCATCAACTTATTGCCTATCTTGTAAGCAGAATTTAAATGTGGTTAGATAACTGTAGATGTTGCATATACTTTTAGCGAAAATGTGCCTTGTCTTTAAAGGGTATATTTCTAGTGGAAATGGCAAAAAATCTAAGTGTCCCTGCCGCCTGCGAATCTCTGTGAAGTTAACTTGCTTTGCCTGAGGGTAGCACAGCTGTCTAATAGGTGTAAGGTCTGACAGGCCACCACCATCGGATTCACCAAAGAACATTATTTGAGGCCTCCGGCCCTCCTATTACAGGAGTCTCCAAGAACATTTCATCTCCAGTTCATGTAGCTTGCGCAAATCTGGTAGTGCTGTCAACTAAGATAACGAACAGCAAAAAAACAACATCTTCAACTGTGGGGAACCACAGTGCTCTGAGACCCTTCCTTTTGTTCAGGTGACATTCCAGCACAGAACGATTCCCAAAACCTCTGATGGCTTCCACACAAAAATGCCAACGCCCTGGTTCTGGGTATAAACCTGACTCCTTTAAAAGTCTGCTCTTCTGTCATCAGGAATGTTGTACTAACTGTATCTTAAACCATAGCCTCTGGCAGCCAATGGTGTATACTTGTTCAATTCTTTGATTATGCTACTTCTCTGGTACATCTATAATGACAGCTTTTCTAGTGTCTGACACTTCTCCACACAAAACAAGAGAAATGCAGTACTGATACCTGGTCAATGATTTGCTTTGAAATTTGGAGACTCGTGATTTTAATTTAATGCAATAGAAGAAGAGGTATCAGTGCAGAACAGTATGTTCAAATCATACACAGGAACAAAGTGATCACAAGAAGAAAAAAGGATTTAGCATCTGAAAGTACTTTAAAAGTTAATGCTTAAGAATGTAGTAGAAACAGGTTTATTTCAAAATTGTGGTGCCTCAGTTCTTTCTTTCCTGAAATGACAGAGGTTCACTCAATATATATCATCTTAGGGATTAACGAGTATGACCTTGAAAAATTGTATTAAAAAATAGCATTAAAAATGAAACATGTCATTTAAAAAGTCAGTATTTTAAATATTTCTTTTTATTCTGTAATATCACTGTGGGCTTCAGTCTGGATTAGATTCAGTGAATAGAGAGTAGTTCTCTTATTTTTCTTTGAATTTATTCTTCCACCAATCTCCCAAGTAAATTCTTTAGAATTTACTAGCACTGGTGGCAATATCTAAGCATAAATTTGTCAGTGGTGGAGCATGCGGAATTTAGATATATTATGTAGATACACTGTGTAGATAGAACATTATGTGACCTTTTCCCTTAGTCAAATAATGACACCCAAGAATTTGACCATGGCCGTCATTTTTCAGGCAATTTGTTTTCTCTCATGCATTCAGGAACTGCTTCTGAGATTAAAACCTACGAAACACAAGGTTTTCTAGGATCACATATTATGTTTATTGGTATACTCCATACTTCTCAGTATTTCTCCTCTTTGGCGATAGGCACCGAAGAAGAAGAGAGGTAGAGATTTGTTGACTCCCCACAGCCAGTAAGATGTATCCTGTCTAGGGTTAGGAGTGAAAAGCAGAACATAAGGTATTTTTTGATAGGACATCAAGTTACACAAATTAATTGCGCTGCAGAAAAGACAGCACTTCTGGTGCTCATAGCGGAGTCAACAGAAATTACTTGCAGAGGACAAGAAGCTTCAGGGAAACAGAGAACAGTGAAGTGTATATAGTGAAGTGTAAAGGGTAAGATACCAGGGACATTTAGAGGTATAAATACTGGGGCAGTAACAGAAGTCACAGCATGGAAAGCAAAAGAAGGCCAGCTATGAGATGGGGCTGGGGAAGGGGAACGGAAGCCCCAAGGTCCTTAGGAGAGGACACAGGGGTGGGGTGTGGGAAACAACAAAGCAGGTCACAGTCAGCACCAGATGAGAAGAGGGTGAAGACAAATATATCTACAAACTTGCTCAGTTCCTCAAAAGTTAAGAAAGGATGTTTTCCTCCCTCTCATCTTTCTACTCTTTGTATGTCTGGGACTTTACCTGTGCGCTGCTGTCACCCTGCTGTTCTGTGGGAACTGGTCAAATATTAAAATTCATGAGAGTAAATTTCTCCCAGAGACTTAGGCCTTGGGAAATAAAATCCTATTCCAAATACAAAAGTATTTGTGACTTGCATAATGTGTAGGCAATAAAGTTTTATATAAGTTATATATATATTTATATATTTATATATTTATATATATATATCTCCCTTCCGCCTTTTCCCAAAACCAACCAACGAATCAACCAAAAGCAAATAGGCACACTTACCTCTCTGAAAATAAATTTCTGATTTTCAGGAACATTGTGAATATTTTCTTCACACAAATACATTGTCAAATAGTCAGTTCCTGAATCAACTGCTGCACAGACTTCTGGCTGCCGGGTGTTGTAACGTATTTCATTATGGGATGTGTACTCAAAAAACTACAAATCCAAGAGAAGAAACAGAAGACAAAAACAATTTCATATGTACACAAGAACGCGTTTATAAGAAAGAGGGACATACTAAGCTACTATAATTAAGTTCACATATTGAAGTTGCTACTTTGGAGAGAAGTCCTGCTAAAAATATTCAAGGAGGCTTAACTGCTGCTATTTGCTTACTATTTTACAGAAAATCAATCTTACCACAGCATTGCTTGGCTTTGATTCGTAAATACGAAACGCTGAATGTATGAAATGCTGAAAAAATGCACTAGAAAGCAGATGTCCCAACATTAAAGGACCTACAAAACTGTAATATACTACTTTTACATTCTAGATCACCCTTAAAAATAGGATAGAAACCAGTTTATAGACTGACATTATGCATTCTTAATTCAGTTGTCACAAAGCAGTGTCACTTTCAATTAAGGAGCTCCTCACTGAACAATTCAAACGTAGTTTGGTCAAGGTTCATTTTCAACTACAAAGTACTCAGGATGCATGGTGATGAGTATTTCATTATATGAAATTTTAAGATACTGTTTGAAGCAAAGCAGTTACAGCTGCTTTGAAACCTGAGCAGAACTTTAGTGAAGACAATTTACTGGCTTTGCTTGTTGTACAATATTCTACAGAGATGTTCTGAACATGCTCTAAAGCATCTTGGCTCCTGTAGCAATTATGGTTGAAGACTTCCTTGACATTTTTATATTTATCATGGACATTTGCCAAATTTTGGACTTCATTAAAGAGAACGGTAGAGTTGGAAAGCTGTTTGTATTTAGCACCCTTGTAAATAATTTAATGACTATAGTGCACGGATGTGTGTTTAGAACTGATTTAGATTACGCTCAGTAGGGTAAACAAGAGTTTTATACACATCAGAAAATTGCTCGTTAGAAATAGTATAGCTGCATTAATGGAAAGCAATAAAGGGACAGTCTTGAGGGACAGAAGGAATCCTTCTCTTTTGTTTTGTTCCTCCCTTGGAGACAGAGAAAGAAAGGGGTGAAGGGGGCTGTACTGATCTGAAACATTGCATATACTGGAATATAACACAGGACCATCCTCAACAATCACCAGCTAACCAGAGAGCCTAGAAATTGAGTTATAAGATATAACAGGATGGTAAGATTTTAAAGTCCGTGGTCATCGAGTTCCAGGTGTAAGAGCTCTCATCTTGATTAAATTGATACTAGTGCCTATTATGTCACCTTATAGAGTTTCATGATGTTTTTCTTTTTTTGCTAGCAGTGTAAGTGATCCCCCAGAACTAACCTCTTCATCAGAGGTTCATCATTCATTCAGGCACCCCAGTGAGCTATCTGGACACTGATTTTAAACCTATGATTTGTGAATAAAGAAAAAGCTTCACTTCCGTTTGTTTGTCTGGGGAGACACTGCATCTCAGCATACTTTCTGCCGCCACTTTTACTAGGTGACAGCTAGGGCCTTGTTCATTACTGGATTTATAAGATATAATAATTCTTTGTAGCAATTTGTATTTGATATCACTGAAAGCCTGTAAGTTGCTGATTATACCAGATGTATCAAGAGTAGATGGAGCAGCAGCTAGGACAGAGCGCTTGTTACTGCTGATATCTTTCTTCAACTGCCTCTTAAAGATGTTGCATCAGATTTGGGAGGAGAAGAGCTAACAAAATGGTTAACTTCTGGATAACATTACGGATTGGGGTTACATTATTAACAATCATTAACAATTCATGTCTCCTTGCTTAATGAGCGTTATACAGTTCTTTATCCTATATTGCTTCAAATGGAATAAACACTTCAGGCTTCAGTCATTTTCAAGCTTCAGTAATATACGAGATAAATCCCTTCCTCCTCAGAAGAAAGAATTTGTTAGCGGTATTCCCTTGCCCAAAGACAAAGGTCCTATGGAAAGGAAGCATTTACAAATTGATTTGTGGCCCAATATTTAGTGGCCTTACTGCATTTTTTTCTTTCAGAGAGCAGGTAGATTCCCTTAAGTGTCACCGGGAAACCTGATGAGGCCGTTTACTAAGCTGCCTACCATTTCTGGGAAACCTGTGGGATATGCCCCAGCTGCATCAGTGCTCTGTGGTACAAGAGGTGGAGGAGGATTTCTGCCACCCCACCAGGCCCTGAAATACACTCTCCTTATGTCTGGATACGGCTCTCTGCAGACAGGAAGGAGTTTGTACTTTACAGGCACATTCTGGGCGAAATCAGCAGCAGCGAGGTTACTAGGTCTGCCATAGAGAATGTGAGGACAAAACCCTCCATTTGCCTCTCCTTACTTGTCTCAAACTTATCAGTCACAGATGGGAAAAGTGGTGGCATGGTGTCAGACCGTGCAGGCTGCTCAGTTGTTACAGATCCTCTTATCACGTCAGGGGGGGAGGCCACCACGAACCAGTCCCCCCTGTCCTGGTTCCCAGCCGTGCCAAGGACGAAGCCTTTAATAGCCGAAATTGCAAAGCCTTTCCTTCCCGCTTACCTGGGTCAGGTGCTTCCACAAAATATCATCAGCCTGAGGTGCAAGCAATGTTTTGCTCGTTTTCTACCTCTCTTCCACATGTACTCAGCTCCTTTCACTGCAAATCGTATCCTCACCTTCTTGCTGTAATGAACATGCTAATTTTAAACACCCCACAGCTAGTTTTCTTACTGCTTACGCAAGAGCAACTCAGGGCCTAAACAGAAACCTCTCACTGAGGCCATAGCATTAAGCACTGGATTCAGGCAGACATAGTGACTATTTTCTGTGGACCTCAGATAGTACTCTGAGAGTGGTTTTACTTACTAAGGCATAAAATGGGAGCAGGTGCCGGACTTCATAAATAATCAAGAGCACAGAGCTCTCTCCTCTCGGCACAGTGCACAGCTATTCAGAGGTCACTTTAAGTGGAGAATTGCTTCCAGTGAAAACAGCTTTTGCAGTTGTCCCCTGCATAAACAGCCACCCGCCTCTAGCACATCATGCCAGAGGATCGGTGTACTGGAGTGCAAGACACTTACCGCTGACTAAGTTAACATTCATTAGTGTTGAATTCTACCAAGATGTTTTGGAGAATAACTTTAGTGAGCTGTGCTCTGGAGAATAAACTTCATTCCCTTATCCTATGAGACAGTGTGAATGTACAGCAGTGAGAGCTATTTGAGGAAGAAAGTGATGAACGGTGGAACAAATAGCACAATGGGAGGGAGAGATGAGGAAAAGAGGAGAAAAAACGGGAGCTAGCCAGGAAAGAGGCACATTTGACAAGGAGCAAGATGTGACAGACCAGGCATGGGGAAAAACTGCTGAGATTAATAACTGGAAGGAGAGACTGAGCAAGGCAGTTGGAGAAACAGACTGAGAGCTGGCTGGCAGAGCAGAGTGTACTCACTGCACAGAGAGGAGAAAGTGAGGCTGAGACACGCGGCACGGAGGAGCTGACTGCAGTGAAACTCTATAACGAGGCAATATGGGGTAAAGAGCAGAGCGACAAGAGCAGATACCACGAGAACAGGCAGGAAAGTCTGGGATCAGGATGGCTGATTCCCTTCCAACAATGACAAGGAAGTTAACAGCTGCCTGTTGTCAGTGAGAATCTTCAGAACTCTCTAGTAAAGTGACCTGTTCTCCTGTAGCACTGATGTAACTAGAGGCTGACAAACCTATTGCTGCCATCAGTTCCATTAGCTCACCGTGGTGGACATGCACGTGGGAGATTTGACTGTTTCAGGCCTGCTGTCATCACCTGTACATGGAGCTAAGCAATTCACAACGTCCAGTATGAGCTGTTATCTTTTAAAAGCAGCTATCCAAAGAGCATGGGGAAGGGAAAGAAATGGAGACATGTTCTGCTAGTAGGTTTCGTAGCTATTTGTGAGCCGGAAAAAGGAGATGCAAACTCAGGAATCCTGACTTCCATTTCACTTCACATCACACGTGTGCTTCTACATCTGTCCTCCTTCAGCCTCCCTTTTCCCACACCCACAGCTCTTGCTGATGCCCACTTTTACTCTTGCAACTACTACCTGACACCCCTGCTCATCCTTCCCTTTGCCAACTCTTGTCTCTGCTCCCAAATAGCTCCCCTTCTTCCTGTTCACTAGGTGCCAGCGGAGACACCATTAATTGCACAAGTCGGAGATCATCACTGCTCGCAGTCTGGTGCCTCCTCCTCTCACAGGCACTTGGATGCCTCTCACCAGCAGAGATGTAAGAGAATTAATATCCAGTGGTATGATAACTTTGTAATAGGCTAGCAGTTAATGTTTTAGTGCCAGCTGAACAAAGGACAACCGAGAACGTCATAAGAACCTTTTCAAATAGCAATGGTACTTCTCTTTTGCTTTCACCTTTTACCTCAAGTCGTATTTTTTGGGAGGTGGGTGGAAAGGATAAAGTTTAAATTTACTATTCTTGTTCAAACAAATGCAAAAATATTTTACCCCTCTCCTCTCTGAAATCCTTAATATAAGAACAAATATCTAAAAAAGCATGTGTTTGTGAGCAGGTAATCCTACAGGTAAGAGTGTTCTCAATCTAAGAAAGCAATCCAGATAAAAAAGTGGCTAACTAACTAATCCGATTATTTATCTTCTATACAGGTATATAGAAGTACACTGAACCTGGGAAGGGAGCTGGACTGAGGGAGAAAAATGGGTTGGTATGGTGTGGATTAGTGTGCTTAACATACACCTGGCGTTATTGAGATCCTTTGGCTTTTATGATGCATGATTCTCCTCCTCCTCTCTCCTTCTATCTCTACTGCCAGGACAGAAATTTTAAGAAAATTATTTAATAGCCTTACTAAGGTTATTTCATAATTCAATAAATAATACTAAATAATATTACCACTACTTATGGCAATAAACTTGCTGCTAGAAACAAATCTACTCCCTGTTAGATCGGAAACAAAGCACTTAGATTGCTGTTTGTTTTCAATTTTTAAGTAAAATGAAATTCATACTAGATGTTTCCTCTTCAATACCGACTTGTTTTTCACTCCTCTAGCTTTTATATTTTTTTAAAAGCAGAGACAAGTTTGGGAAGGCAGCTGATAAACTGCATGGCTGACACATATGTTGTGCTTTTCTAAAGCTATTTTTCCTTTCCTAAAGGAAAGTTTGGATTAATTTCCTAAAAAGCAGTCAAGCCACCCAAACTATACACAGTTACGTACTTAATCTCAACAAGACCTTATTTCTCCACCTCTCCCTACTATGAGGCATGCCAGATAGTCTAATCTAAGTTAGAAACCAAAAAAAGATGCTAGCTAAACAAATATATGTCATGTGCCACATGTCAAACACCATACCCCAATCTGAGAAGATGGCTATTCAAAACCATGCAAAACATATAGTGACTACTGTACATTGACGTCTGGTGCCCTCCAGCACTTTTACCATGGCAGTACGTAGACAGCTTTATCGGCATCATAACCTGTTGCACACAGTTTCAATCAGCATAGAGAAAGCTGCCAGCAAACATTTTTAGCTTCACTACTTAAGAACAAGAAAGCCAAAACTAAAGCTTTAGATCCTTATCCATGCTCTCAAGGATTCTAAAATCTTGGCCTAGGAGAACATTTATGGAGGATACACTACAGGGGAAGATGCCATTTTGAATCTCTTACACAGTCAGAAAAACATCAAGAAAAAAAGGCATAATGACAGGCACAGGCAGGCCCAGGTGAGGTTTGCAACGTTACTAGGGATCTGGAGACATGGACAAAAGCGGACAGGAAGAGTGTTCTGTCTAGCGCCAGCCGGAAATGAGCAAACACTGGTCCATTAACCATATAATTGCACTGCCATGCTATTAACCCCTGCTAGCAAGCTCTGTGGAAAGGCATGACTAAGGTATTCACGGCTTCCTTGGCCACGAGATATCTTTAGAACTAAGAAAATCTGACCTCGGAATACACAGAAATTAAAAACATCCAGTGGAAGAATCAAAAATAGAGCTCTAGCTCTAAGAACATCTTACTGTGGCAACACAGTCCCTCAGTGCTGGAATGCTTTTTACTATACTTTTTACATTGCAACCATAGTGTTAGTCAAAATGAAAATAAAAGACAAATCTTACCTGATTTTGTCCCATGCCATGACATGGGTACAGTATGACCCTGTGTCCGGTTACTTCATGCTCATTTGGAGGGTTATAATCAAAACAGAAGTTTGCCATTCCTCTGTTCTTCAGCTAAGCAAAACAAAAGAATGTTTTAAAGAATTTAAAGTGCTTTAGTGTTAAAGTAAGGAGGATACAGTGCAATCACTTTATGCCCATCCTGCTGGACTGTGAGGTTTACATCCTAGAGCTAGCAGAAGTCGTTTGAATAAATTGGAGTGGACCAAATGCATCCAGCAGCACTAGCTCTTTCAGACTAATGTGAAATAAAACTGTTGAGATCATTCTGACTCAGGGCAGTGAACCAGCCAGATATGATGGGTTCCCCTAGGAATGACACCATGCCAGCATATTTGCAAGTGAAGCAGGCAGAAAGTATGAAAAGCTATGTGGAAACTCAATAAGCCAGGAACTTAGCAAAATGAGAGAGTCTGCCATGTCTTTTATGTCCCCATCTCCAATTTACTTGTTTAATTTTCTTATGAAAAAAAAATGTCCTTTTCTCATTTTTTTTTCAAATGAGAGCTATACAAAGGATTTCTTCTCTAAAGGACTCCAGTACCCTCTGGAGGTTTACAAGCAGTTAGATTTGAAGACTAGAAATCTTGAAAGTAGACGAGATTTCTCTTCCAAGAGACATTATAGATCATATTAAAATGATCTATAGTCATTTTAATGATTATACCTGTTACTGACCTCTGACACAATAGGTGCATAACTTGTAGATTAAATTTTAAGATAGGAAGTTACATGATTTCAACAAATCAGGCTAATTAATAAGGATTTGCATTTTCTAAGCATTCAGGAGTTAAAAGTAACTAAAAATAAGTTGGACAATGTGGTAACAATTACAGAAGTCTAGTATTAACCACTTAACCAAATTTAAAATTACATGGAGCAAAACAGGTTCTGTAAACACACATTGAATCTGAATGCCCCCATTACTGAACAGAATTGTAGCAGACACTAAAAGAAGAAGCAGAGTAAATCTCAGTAGAGTTACTTAAGCAAAGTGTAATTTCCCCTCTCCTCACTAGTATTGAGAATTGTATCCTCAGTTCTTAACGTAGAGAATAAATGGGCATGAAGGAATTGCAAAAAGGTAAAAACAAACAAATTCTGGCAAATCCATTCACTCTGAAGTTCTCTCCTTAGCAAGCTTTGCCATTTAATTCCTTCTGACCGTGTTTCCACTACGTGTTTGGTGGAACTTTTCAGTAAAGGATTAAGTAAAATCAAAATCTGGGGGAATTATAAAATTATAATTGACTATTTTTAGTGTCCACGTTTACCAGAAATAAAAGAAATCCTCTGAATACTCTTTACTATACACTCACTGTAATAACATACTCTTCTTCTGAACCATCCAAAGAAGGCATTTTGTTTACCTTCATAATGTCAGTGAAGACTTACAATACGAAAATAGGAAGAAAGCATCTTCTATAGATGATTTTTAACATACACCATGGGATTACGTAAACAAAACAAAAAACTTCTCATGTTTCCACATTCTACATAAAGAAATGTCAACCCGAAGTCTTACCAATTTAAAAATGATTAACTGTGTCTCTAAAACCGTAAGTCGGTTTCTGTTGCCATCAGTCACTGTCCTCCGGATCAGAGGTTCTCCCGTTAGTATTTTTAATGACTTTGTCTGACGGTCTACTGATTCCAACAGGAAGACAAACATAGCAAAGTACTTATCCTTACTGCCATCCCAGCCAACCTCAAGTCTTCACTGTCATTCCAAGCACGTGCTCTTCACTGGCATCCCCTGGCATGCGCTATGGAATGTGGTCCCTTTTGTAGCTTTTGTAATTTTAAATAACCTATATTAAAACACTAGGTGCCACCAGAACTACAACTCAGGCATAAGAATGCTTTTCTATGCATGTGGCATAATGCCTAAATGCAGAAAGCAAAACAAACACTATATAAAAGATTAGTAACTTAAGCTTCATTTCAGATGGTTTAAAACTGCGTCTGTGCACACATGATGTTATCACAAATAACCTCTCATTTTTTCTTTCCTGCATAAATATTTGCAGTACGTGCAGACTTACTCCTAAACATACATGGTCTTATTTCAGTATGGATCTCCTAGTTTGTCGTATCAGACATTTGTAGATGCTCTTTTATATCCACAGTTGACTAGTAAGCCTAATAGATGCTGAAGACCTGATTTGTGGAGATAGTCAAGTACTAATCAGATAAATGACCTGATCTGAGACGACGACAAAGATTTGAAAATCATTAGATTTGAAAATCTGATCTCAACACCACTTTGGCATTAAACCATCAGTCATCTGTTCCAAGGCAGAAAAAAGTATGAGAGAATTTGTGAAAGCAGTATTTTTTCTTGTTAAATGAGAATATACAGTTTACTTTAAGTTTCTTTTACTTACAAAATACTACCAAAATAATAATAGCCCATTCATGTCTGAAGCTATCTTTTTTCCAATATCCGCCATAAACAACTCATGCAATAAGAACAAATTTTCTCTATGACTTACCTTAATTTTTTTGCTGAATGCTGCATTGGAGAAACAGAAACAAGAAAAAATTTTGATCACCTTGCCATTAAAATATACAGTTCTTAAAAGTTCTGCCCATGCAACCAGTAGGCTATTTCTTTAACTTCTGTCGCCTCTTGAAATATCGCAGGTGCCATTTAATTACTGCTCTGTTTGGAGGCTGGGATAGGTAGTAAACACCAACTATTGAGACACTCACCACTATGGAAGATCTGGAACTGCAGACCTTTACCCCACCTACTGGTTGGAGAAATTTAAATCTGTCATTTCCTAACATCTGGACACTTGCATATAATGATGCAATACAGCTAGCATTCTGTAAATTATTCTTTGCATTTTTTAAAGATAAAATTCATTTCATACAACTGTAAGCCAGCCCTGCTCCAGAAACAGGCTTTTAACATTAAAACTTCTTTACATTAGTGGACAAATACTGCCAGTGGAACACAGCCAACCTTCCTCTTCATCCACAAAATAGAAAAGAATCCTCCTTATTCCTCCACAATGACATTGCTATTGATGGATTAGTGGTATGGGCCAATGATATCATGGGATATATAATAAGATATGAATTTGTAGCAAGCCAACAGCTTCATGCTACTGGCCAGGCATATGTTTTTACCTCATATAATCTCAGCAGTCCTAGGAAACAATCTTACTGAGGGTACACTACTTTCATACCAGCATTTTTGGAAAAAAAAAAAAGTGAGTAACATCCTCAGATTTCTGTTAACTTCTTAACTGCAGCATTGAAATGAGTGTATAACATTGATGGCTGAGATTCTTGAAAGGAATCAATGATAAGACATGTTTGTCAGAATTTGTCTGCTCATCCTAACAAGTCCAGAACACTCTAGAAGGCTCAAGAACATATAAGCATCCATCTTAAGCTATGGTATGTTCATTTGAGATTAGTATCAGACACTTGACTTTCTTCCACTTCTTTTAAAAAGTCTGTCTCAGGCTTGGAGAGGCAGTACAGCCAGGAAAAAGTGATGGAAGAGCCCCTGAATTGCATTTGTTGAGGCATATCTTCCTGTGATGGGCACCAGATCTCAAGGTCTAGTTAGCAATAATCTTAGGTACCAATCTAACCCCTCAAGTGGCAGCTCTACAAATTCTGTTATAATGAAGTTCTAGATTGGAGGAACCTCTAGAGGAGGGTGTTTTGGAGTCTGATACCTCTGAGAACTTGTAATACTTAACGTGTAATAGCCTTTTTGACGACACATCTTTATCCACATAGCTAAGCTCTCTTCTCCTGTAAGCCTGTCCATAACACCACATTATCTAGATAATTTTAAAAAATGATCCCTTTCATGTCTTAGCAGAACAAAAGTCTTCATATTTTTTAAAGGCAGGCACTGTCTTTTTTTTTTGGAAGGTTATATCTGAACTGAATTAAAAGCAACAGATGACTGAGCATTTTGAAATTCATTTAGGATGAGACGGTCTTGGGGAAAAATGTTGAAGGAACTGCTATTTGAAAAATTCAAGTATTTGATCTCCCAACTGATTCAGTCAATCACAGAAGCCTTTAAGGATAGGTGGTGAAATAGCTAATGGTTAGATAGTCACAACAGACATCTATCAGCTTGATTTTTCACATTAATCTTGTAGATCGGCTGGAAATTGCCTGAGAAGTAAGAAAAACCTCTCATATCAGAACATAATAGGGTCTTGCTCTCAAGTGATCAAACTCACAGAAAAGTCCTCGTTTTTGTGTCTACATTGCCCTTTAAAAGCCATTTTGATGCCAAGTCAAGGCCAAATTTACTGACTGACCATAATCGTTATCCTCAGACATGTACCCTGAAGGCCAGATATACTTAGTACACCTTAGAGGGGAGAGGAACCCTGAATATTCCCTTGCTTTACAACTATTCATCTCCACACGCACCAACAACATGAAAAGATCACAGCACTGTGCGATTCCCCTGTCTTCATGTAGTTTCACAACACAACAATGTCACGGTATTAATATTAAGCACACAAGATGGCTTCAAGTCCTTCCTAGAGGTGCCCACATCATCCATTCCCACGGCAGCTGAGACCTCATTGGGGCTATCTAGACGGACAATTTGCAAGAGCACAACTGGGATTCAGGTCTGTTTTAGATTTCACATCAACTGAAGCATAAGTGGAGTATAGTCTTTGCTGCTAAGTGCATACTGAAAGATGGCCAAAATAGATGTTATGCCAGAAGTAACTCACTTTGCTAAGATTTTCTCAGTGAAAGGTTTTAGACTTTCCAACACAATTTCTGATTGCCTCATTAGACAGATGGGCATTCAGACACAGTGCGAATATGGCTGAAGTTGTTACATGTAGAAACACAGAACGTATCCTCTGACCGTGGTATTGTAACTGAAGCTGTAGAATTGAAGACGCTCACCAAATGCATAAACACAAAACAAAGACGCTAGAGCCAACTCGGGGTTAATTAACAGAATTTGAAATCAGTCCCTCTTGATGTTCCTGATGACTTTTGGAACTAGGAGAATCCGAGTAATGACCACCATGCCACTGGCAAGGTGCTCAGTGTTATGCTAATCTTTTTTGGTTTGTTTTCACTGTTCTTAAAATAGCAAAGTATAATTCTGTGAATCTGTCTGTTGAAATTTAACAAGGGAAACTCTGCTATTTTCCTTTGCCGTTCTTCGTATTATCATCTGATAGCGTCAGTTCTCCAACCACTTCTAAGGTAGCTGCCTCCTCCTCTCTGTTTGGTTCCATTTTATCCTTATGAGATAGTGCCACACCAATAGCATCACAATCATTTTTATGTTAGACCTTCTACATCTCTTCATTCCTGGCATACCTGCCACTTTGAAGGGCTGAATAATACTTCTTCTCACTTCTTTATAGACATTATGACACTGAAGATATTTAGCGGTTCCGGGTTCAGGTTTATCACATTATGCAAAAGAATAAAAGGGGTTCATGTCTTTTTTTCTGTCAGATTTCTGGTATCTCCTGTTGAGGATTTTCTACTTCCTCTTTCTTTTGGAAGCTTTTTCCGATACTCAAATTGCTGACACTTGCTTGCATTTTTCCCAGAGAAGTGTGTTTAACGGTTTCTCCTTGACCTCATACTCATTCTTTGGAACTACAATTAATCCCAACCTCACCACGGTTTTCTTTAGTAAACAGCTCTGATGCAACACAAAATATGTTTTAAAACAGTGTTTATCAGTTTTCACCATTATGATTCATCAGCAAAGATGTTTATTGGATAGGCTAAAGGATATACAAGTTTTATTTGCCTTAAAATATAACCGCTGTTCCCTTTTACCAAGAAAAGAAGAAAAAATACAAATCAAAGTCAAAAGGTTTCGTTTATGTCTCACACAAACTACCGAAGCTACATAAGCATTCAACAGCCTAGGGACCAGATAGACACTGCTTGCACAGCTGTCCAAGGCACTGTATGGCTTAAAAAAGGCATGCACTTGAGCCAAGCAAGGGGATAGAGCATGCCTGTACATCTGTGCAGTCGGCTGAGGTGCCCTGAGAAGAAATTCAATGCACGCCCATTCAGAGTGCAACCTGCTCTGCCTGATGCTGCCCTAGTGAATACTGAGCACAGATGTATTTCCAAACAGACATCTGAGCCGCTCATTAGAGCCTTTCAAACACAGGGAGACACTTAACATAGAATGAGATGGACATCTTCTGTACAACAGACTACTAAACAGAGCACTTGCTGAGGGGAGACAACCGGGATTTGCTTCCCTCTTCCGACTGAGCAGCACAGGATAGAGCAGCCCAGGACAGGGGCATTACCTCACCTGCTGAAGCTTAGGTGTTATGTGGAACACAATGAAAGACTCAGAGAGTTTTGATTATCTAATAGTTCTGCATATCTAATTTAATGTTAGGACATTTCTGGAAGGGCATACTGTGGTCTCCCCTCTAGCAGCTTCTAGTGCACATTGCCGTAATACAGTGCTGAACAAAACAATACTGGGAGCTCAGATGGGGACCTGGATTCACCTCTCAAAATTTTCTTTCCCTTTAGATAAAATAGTGACTAGGGACTTACCATGTGCTCCTATAAAGACACTATGCATGCAACATTAAAACACACCCTAAGACTCCTTTCTTTTTTTGGAACTGAAATACAATTTTGCTAAGTTTCACCAGAATTTTGATCAAATGAACTCAGATACTGGCAATGTAAGTTGCTGTCTAATGTTATTTGGCCTCCACTGTCTGTAAGCGAGAAAAAAGGGTGAATTTTCTATCTCTTAGGTGAATTTAAATATGTCTCAAAATTTCATCTCATAATGATGACATTAGCCTTAATATTTGATCTAGAAGAAAAAATGAAATTTTCTGTTTTGAACTTTGCTCTGCTAGAACTTTTATGCAAAAATGTGACTTAAGTTAAAAAAAAGCTTTTTATGAAAGAGAACACTTGATAGTACCATAGGAATATTGATATTGATAATACCATTTCTCAAAGTATGGTTCCGTTCAGACCACAGACTAAAGTCAGCATTGAGAAATTCCATGTTTATGGTTGCTAAATGATTTTGGTATAAAGTATACTGATTTTACTAGTGAAAAGATGCATCTCCCTCATTTCTAGGCCTCTATCAGTTTATAAAAACGCAGCCATAGCTCAGGCAAAAATATTCAAACCTCTACGTCTTTAATAAATTGTTAGGCTGCTAATATTTTTAGGCAATCAAGCTTAGTATATATATTAAAATTTATCAATATATGAAGAAAAAAGTGTTACCATAAGAGTTTAATTGTCAGTGCACGGCGCTGAATTCTACTCAATAATTCTTGCATTTATTTCAATAACTTATGGTTTACCTATGGGTAAATTTTAGACAGATTTTCAATTTCAGTGTAAAGATTTTCAAGGGAGGGAGAAATCCCTTAGCAATCTCTTTCAACAATTAAATAGCCTCACATTAAGCACAGCTTTTAACAAAGCCAACACTTCGGAACACAGTATATTTGTGAATCAAAAAAGCACTACGCTGCTAATGCAGAAATAAAGAGCATGATCAGTGATTCATTGAAGTTAGCAGATGGGACTCAATATCCACAAATCATTTGAATCAATAGGTGTCATTTTTGCACTGTCACTTTCTTAGAGTATAACAGTACTTCAATCACATTTAAATGTGATTTAATCACATTTTAAATTCTTCCTGCCAAAAAATGGTGTATTCTCATTATGCTCACAACTAGATGACAGCATCTAAGAATTGTTTTTAGAGAAATATATAGAACTCACCTAAATTACACTGTAGATACCTCAAGCAGCTCTGAACAAAAATTATTATTTCTAGGTATTGTCAACACCTTTCTTGAGGATGACACATGCTGCTAATCTTGAAAGAAACTACACAAATCTCTTCCCCTCCCCAAAATGTTGAAACATTATTACCACCACAGTCTAGGCTTTCCTCTGGAGGATGAAGGACAGAGGTAGGGAGGAGGATAAGGTTACTGAAATGCTTATCAGAGTCCTATTGCTTCAATTCTCTCTGATCTTGTCAGTTAGCGAGCCAGCACAGAACAACAAAAACTGAACCAATGCTGTACTGTGGTCTATTCTAGATACTGGATAATGGTGCATATTTACCTCTCATGCCTGCAATCACATAGAGATACCCATTTAAATGCCAGCTCAAAAAAAGGAGTATGGTGGCTGCTTTCTTAGAGGTTCCTAAGGGCTTTGCTGCGCCACTGCTAACTGATGCACCTGCCTGTGGGAAATACAACTTAGATATACTGCAGAATTTCCATATTAGGAGTTTTTGTTGCTGTTCAATAGGTAATGAAGCTACTAGGGAAGGCTGTGGGGAGACTTAGGTTACCGTATGCTCTGTTCGCCCACAATGCTCAGGGTTTTTCTTCTTCTCCAGAAAAGATCTAGTAGAATGATTGTGCAACTGAAGTGCAGATGACAGCCAGAACAGACTGTTGTGATACCAGTTGGACGAGATGAACTAGCAATGTTGGAACTGAGTTACCAACAAAAGCATTTAAAAGTCAATGTGGCATTTGTAGGAAGGTATCTCATACATCTTTGCCTGGCAAGAAGGTGCAGTCTTATCTTTCTAACAGGACAGATATAGCGGACAGCTGCTGATCTTTCAGAAGCAGCAGGTATTTACTGCAGCTTCCCTGTCTTCATCCCTCCCAAATGAGATTATAGTAATGTGATGTACATGGGGCTACAGTTTATATTTATTTGTAAGCTGCAAACAGCATAGAAAGTTGTCCTCTCTTAAAAAAGGAGAAGAGGATTCTCATATTGAATCCATGAAAATTGCTTATGAACCTGTGCAGGTCAAAAGTGACTTTCAGGATAAAAATTAAGGTGCTGGTTTTGACATACATGTCAAAAACCTGCATGATCTGAGGGTGTGTAGGTGCAGCTCTCTTTCCTGCATCATAGTTTTCACCAGAGAAAATGTGCAAATACTTGTTACAAAGTACATTTCCTATTTTCAAGTCGATAACTAAAAATGAAAACTCTTAAGCGCTCTTTTTTGTTATTATGTAATGTTTTAAGCAATTAAAAAAAAAAAAGCCATCCCTTGTTCCCTTTAGTACTCGCAAAACGTTACTTGGAAAGTGCAATTCCTGGCAACCTGTTCTTGTACTCTTTCACAGAACTGCTTTATAAATAATATCCATTAATACAAAGATTCTAATAGCAACCATATTTGAAAGTCTACCAATTCTAATTGAATTCTACCAAATTATGAAACTGCTTTCAGCATAAAAATACCAAGTGTGTGTTGATCACCCTTCATACTGAATTAGCAAAGGGGTTCAGAGAGCTGCGAGGAGGTGCCTTGCTCCCAGAGATGCAGCAAGCCACATACCATTCCAAAGAAACCAGGTCTGTCCTCGGGTACGTGAAGCTCTGGGTAAATGTTCTCTAAGAACCATTTGAAGTCCTTACATTTGAGCTTCTCTCGAAGGAGTCTCCTTTCTGTCACGTCTCCATATGGTTCCTGAAAGAAAAAAACATCAAAAAACAAAACAGAACAGATGCTCCCTTCTAAATTATGTATATACATTATTAGGAACCTTATGCTAAAGTGGAAAGTAGGACTTTTAACCAGGAAATATCCCCACTTTCGGGCACTGGATTTGATTTCATTAGCCTTACATTTGCTAAATGTTGACAAAAAAATTAGAACAGGTCACATAAAATTTTAAATATACTGTAAGACTTTCAGTCTGAGAAAACTCCAGAAACTCTGCAAGTAAGGATGTCCTTGAACACGGATTGCTGGAAACTGAGAAAGCATATTGGCAATATACTTGTTTCAGCTGGATAACTGAATGTCTCAGAAGTAGTGAGTGAATCTTAAGAATTTTAAATGATTCCATCAACAACTTGCAAATTACCTATAAAGACATTTTTACATTTAACTGATGAAAGCTGTAAAATCTGTCTTACAGTTTCCTTTAGCTTTACAGTTTTGGGGGAGGGGTTAGAGTAAAGCCAAATCTTAGTATGAAAACTGAAATCTCCAGAGAGAAGCTTTCAATGAAGACTCTCTTCCCTGTGTACAGATTGGAGTAGAGCTTATGTTTCTTCAAGTCCATCTTCAAAATCTATTTCTTTTTATTCGCTAGGGACTTCAGTCAGGCATGATCTGCTCTTTGCAATCCCTAAGTTCTTACAGGTCATGTGGCACACTATTTTTCATCAAGACGAAAATATATTTGTGTTTCTCAAAACTGAAAACGCAAAGCAGATGCAAAACAGAGGCAGCAATGCCTGCTTCAATAAACAAACAGCAGGACATATTAGTTTTGAGGTCGGGATGTTCATTTGAAAGCAAAACCTTATGGAATCAAATTCTGCAGCCATAGCATCAGTCATTTTTCCATTATGCTATGGAATTGAGTATCTGAGTTAGATGAAGTAAAAGGTTTAAATTCAGCCTTTGAAACAAGCAGTGCATAGAATAAAATATTATGGAAACCAGAATGCATTGGTGGTAGCTTTGACACTTGCAAAAATGCAGTTTTCTCAACTTAAATCCACTGTGTTACAAGCAAGCCAAGATACAAAAGTCAGGATATTAACATACATATATCCTTTAAAGACAGGTAAAGTCATCCAGACATCAGCTGCCCCGAACTTTACAAGAAAAACTATCAGCATTTATTGCTGCTTTCTCTTTGCACGTGACACTGCCAGAATCAGTCCAGCACTGCCTGTAGACTTCCATCTTCACATACACCAAATACATCCTTCTCTCAAAGTCGAGCTCTAATAATAAAGCCTAAATGGCTTTTGAGATGTTAAAGTAGAACAATTATCACAAATACATGGACTAGAATAATCCAATTGCCCAGCTTAATCCAACAGAATGCATGGTGGAAGCTAACCAAACTCAGCTCCCAAGTCTCCTCTAGCACTTCTTTTCAAAGCATAATGGTTTCAAGAGCGTTCTGTCCATAGGCATGTCTATTGGGGTAGGCCACTCAAACATATTAGGAAGTCCCTATCTGCTCTCTAAATTCCGACCAGACACAGTCAGAGGTGGATGTCCGGTAGCCCAGGGGAAAGCACTTCCTGCCTTGCACAAAACCAGAAAGCAGGAACTTAGAAAATGTTCAGGTCAAAGAGAGAAGGGTCTAGGGAGATTAAGTGCTTTCAGAAGCAAGTAACAACACAGAACAATTTTTTTAGGCCTGAATTTTGGACTTTGTGCCACAAGTTCACAAAAGTAATTTCTAGTTGACTATGACATTATGAGAATATTTCAAAGTTATTGTCTTCCAGGATTCTGGAAGGGCCCCTCCCTAAAAATATATTTGAGCTATAAATTTGCACACTGCTTTACTGTACTGACCTATTCAAATATCACAGTATTTATTTTCTGCAAATTTCTGCAAACAAAGATCTTGTATTTTCTTCCTCTTTGCATTTAAAAATGTTAACTTTTTTAAAGAACAGAACTGATACTTCAAATGTTCCATTAGGAACATTTTCGTCCTAGTTCCCAAGATTAATTTTTAATTCCTTTAATCTTTAGAATCTTGAATTTTCTATAATTTTTTTAAATCAAACATTCTGCAGCAGTAAATCAAACTTCGAAAAATCCATTTATCTTACATTAATACAACATTTTACCGTTATCACAAGACTGGCAGTCTTGCTGAAGATCATTACAAGCCAGTTAGATAAAAGTGTACTGTCCACTGAACCTTATTGATTAGCATTAACCATCTTTCTGTTCTGCAATTCTTTATTGAGAAAGTCCTGCATCAGCTGTTTCGTTCTTCTGCCAGGCATACATTTCAGGTTATGCAGCTCCTCACTCCTTGGGCCACCTTGCTTTCTTTTTTTTTTTTTTAATATTGGCACAAATTTGGCCTTCTCCTAGGCTTACAGAAATTCCAATTTTACCAAAAAGTTAAAAATTAACTATATAGGAATTTGTTTTATGCTTGGGAAAAATTTTAGAAGAAGTAAGAAATAAACACAAAACTTCATTCATGTTAAACCGAATTCCAATTCTAAGCATGATGGACTTCAAACTCACCAGGCGAGCATGTGGGTTTCGATGGTAATAAAGTTCTTTATATTCATCCATCCACACTTCAGCTGCACGTACACTGTTTGCCAAAGCCTTGGAGCGTGAGTATGGAGCTTGTTTAGGGAAAACATGACCTACATGAGAACAAGGGTGGATCTCAAGACTTCCTCCGCACTGCCATATCTGAACAAGGAAGGCACATTTCGCATAGTTACTTTCAGTCTTTGCAAGCAGGATACAATCAGACTTTGCCTCCTCAAGAATATCACAATATATTATAAGCAACACAGAATAATATTGTGAGGAAGGCAAATAATTGTCTCATTCCATGAATAAACTGGATTAAATGACCTCCTCATGACCTCAGAGCAAATCACCGGGAGCAACAAGAAGATATCCTTGTCTCTCTTTTTATCAGGTGTGCAATTATCCCCCTCTCAGCTTTACTTTCTCTGAAGACATGATGAGAAACGTTCCACAATATTTCTGCACGCTGAACAGTAGTCTACAATTCAAGATATATAGGCGTGGTTCACAAAAGAGCCATGCTTCTAGTCCAATAACAACCATACCAATAGCCTCCTTAGAAAGACAGCGATGACTGATTTCTTACCAGAAATTTACTCTTTCTTTGCTTTCTTTGCCTATGCTCTACTATAAAGCTGACTTGGCAAAACTTGCAGTCTTGTCATATTATTGGAAAACCATTACTTGCGTTTACATTTCTATATGCATCATTTCAGAAGAGAGGTATAGGTGCCTGGCCTGGTCATAAAATATTACCATCACTAACCTTTTTAATTGGGAAGCTGGAAAAGGAGCCCAAGACCAAATGTATGGGGGGGAAAAAAAAGCACACAAAATAATTATTTGACTGACTCTTGGTGGTCTGATCAATATTAGTGAAAAAAACTCTCCTATCCAAACTATGGCTAACACAGACTTTCTGTAGAAGTTTTTGCAAACTATCATTCCTGGGTGTTAATTCTCTTGGATCCAGCTGTGCACAGCTGGCAACTAATCCTGTCTCTGTAAATGGAGGACCAGGGAAATTGCCTAAGATATGCTTAAAGGTGTGAGAGGTTTGCTCTTTAATGACCCTCTTGTATAACACATACATTTTTAATTACGTGTTACATGTTATTTCGCAGAAGCGAAAGCTGTGAAGCAGCAAATAAAATTTCTGTCCTTACCAGTGATAATGGAACAGTTTTCTCTCCTTGGGACTTCCAGGGATTCATAGAGTCAATAGAGATGAAAGCTTTCAGCATGCACAAGATGAACGCTGCCTTCAGCCTGACTTTTTAAAAAATTATTTATATATTTCTGTCAAATTTCTTTACTTCAGTATCATTGAATGTTGTCTAAGTTCCATTGATTTGGTTTTAGATAATGATGTCATACTGATGAATACATTTATGAGTGGCAAAATACTATGCTTAATGACAAAATTCTAGGGACTGTAATACATATGTTTACTTTTAAAATAACTGGTTTTCTTAAAGGTATAGGCTATTCATCACTCAACTATAGGGAACACTAGATAATCTTTGTTTCTCAGATTTAAAATTTTAATTTCTTGGTTTTCACTGTAGGTTTCTCTCTTCTGGGGAAGCAGAACATTTTTTCTTTTGAATAAAACAACGAGTAAAGGAATAATTACTATTTTTTTCCCTAAATTCAGAGTTCTATACTGTTGTTTTAAATGACTTGCCATGTTTTCTAATTACACTACTGCCATATTGAAAGTCGTTATGAAGCCACTTATCCAATTTCATTTTAAGATCTCCCCCATGGAGATTTCTGTTTCAAAACAATAGCTTTCTCATGTCATTATTTCTATATACAAGATTATATTTTTTAAAATTGAAAGTTATTAGGCAAGATTTCTTTGTCAGTAAATATTGAGCTCTATTAAAATATATTGAAGTCTATCAATTTTTGTGTTTCTTCCATCACATATAAGCATTTTTTTAATGATCATTACTGCTTTAATCAGTCTGTTTTTAACAAGACGATATGAGGACCAGACCATAAAGACCACTGAGGTGCAAATGTAATTAAGAAAGAGGCACATTCTTCCATTCTTCTGTGAGGAAGTCCCAGTTAACTGGAGTAAAATGGACTGATCAAAATCTCTGTTAAACTGCTGTGTTAAATTCCACAACTGCTGAACTTTCAGTAGTTAAAATTCTGAATAGCTCTAAAAAATAACTGAAAGCTGCTAACCAGCACTCATTACATTCTCCTTCATTAAAACAGTTTAAAGTTCTCTTCTCTTACTATTACAAAAAATAATAATTTTCAGCTAAGCAATTCCTCAATCGATTTAATTTATTTAACATGGAAAACATATTTTGACTTCTATATAAAATCACATGCAAATGAATAACTGTAAAATAAAGCAAAAAGTGCAACACAGAAACCCAAACTCATTACAAAATGCTAAATAAGCAACTCAGGGGAAGGTTCTCCCCTCAAACTAATTCCAGTTCCTGTAACAGGAAATTAGATTTCATTTAGATTTTGCACGCTCACATGCAGGCAAGTATGTTTTTTTTTACTAGGTCTGGCTAGCTCACAGCTTGTCATTATAAAAGTGTACTTTTTTTCTTGAGCACAAAAAAACTAAAGTCTCATTACTTTTACTTTCACTTTCATCTTGAATAATGGGATGCACGTAGATTGTGAATAGTTTTCATTTTTTCCAGAGACAGATGCTTGCATTACGAAAAGCTGTAATAAAAGTACAGTGCTCCACTTTCAAACCATGTACCTGCAGGAATCTTTAGACAATCAACCTAATCGGTCAGTGACAGGTAAATAAGAAAAGCAAGTCTATTGTCAGGAAACTACATTTCCTATATAAGCTCTACTGCCTCCATTCTAATATTTTAGGAAACTCCAAAAGGAAAAAGGCTGCTAACTCCTAAACTCCCGCAAACAAAGACAGGCTGAGGAAAACACTGTTTTTTTTTTTTTTTTTTTTTTTAATTTCTTTCACTTATAACTTTTTTTCACCTTTTTTA